GGCCAAGCCTGACACCCAAATCCCTCTCTGGTTTCCTGTCTTGCCATATACTGTCTCTACATACACCCCCACCCTGATGCCATCTGTCTCGATGTACTATAACAAAGGAAGCCCTTGCCAGAGACTGAATCAATGGGACTGTCTGATCTTGGACATTCAGCCTCCAGAACCATCAGCTAAATAAACCTTTTTTTCCAGAAGTACTCAGCTTTGAGCATTGTGTTATAGTAACAGAAGATCAACTAGTGCAAGTTCTTACTGGTCATTTGTATATCTTTTTTTTCTTTGCAGCACAGGTAAACCCAGGACTTTCCCACTGAGCTATATCTCTAGCCTTTTATTCTTTTATTCTGAGATAGAGTCCCACTAAGTCTATAAGTTGCTCAAGGTGGGCTTGAACTGGCAATTCTCCTACCTCTCTATCATGCCCAGCTCATGTATCTTCTTTTGCAGTTTTTAGCCAAGTTTTTGCCCATTTTTAGTTGGATTGTTTATCTTTTATTGCTGAGTGATAGAATTTCTTCGTATATTCTAGATGGAATATAGAATTTGTATTTGAGAGGAGTTGCTGATGCAGTCAGGCATACTTACTGGCAAATTTGTAGCTTACCTAGTAAGCCACAAACAGTGTCTGATGGATAGAAATTCTGAAGTTTGATGAAATCTATCTAATTCATCAAGTTTTTTTAAAGGCCTGTGTTTTCTGTGACCTAGAAATCTTTGCCTACCCCAAGGTTTTAAAATATTCCATAGTTTTTCTAACATTTTGTCATTTTCAGCATTTGTGTGTAGGTCAATGACCCATACTGAACTGGTTTTCATATGTAGCTAGAGGTAGACAGATATTTGGTTGTATCTGCACTACACGTTGAGGATATTGTTTCTCTATTGAATTTCCTGGCCACTGTGTCAAAAGTCATTTGACCATGTATCTGGGAACACACAGTTGGGAAAGCTGTAATTAAAAATGTACTTTCATTAAGTTCTTAAATTGCTCATAAAATAATAGAATATTTTTGAAAGTAAGCTGTGATAAATATAAAGATTGTAATCTCTAGAGAAATCAATAAAAGTATAATTCAGAGACATCATCACTGAAATGTCAATATGGGAGATGAAACAAAATCTTTTTTTTTTGGTTTTTCTCCGGTACTGGGAACCAAACTCACGACCTTGTGCTTGCCAGGCAGGCGCTTTGCCGCTGAGCTAAATCCCCAGCCCCGAAACAAAATCTTGAAAGAGGTGTTTCATCTCCAAAATGTAGGGCATGAGGAATAGAAAAAGAGTCTGAGGAACAGATAAAAATCAACCCCAAATTTAGTTCACTGACCTTCCTAATTAGTAGACAGACATCATCAGACTGGATAAAAATGGAAGACTCAATTGTATGTGCTTTATAAGAAATATGCTTTAAACATAAAGATACAGATAGGCTGAACATAAAGGACTTCAAAAAATAAAAGTACGATGAATAAGAAAACAAATGGAGCTATACTAAATCAGAAGGAGTAGACTTCAAGATGGTAGATACAGGGGATCATTTTATAACATTAAAAACTTAATGAGGAAGATGCAGGCAGGCATGTTGATCCACACTTGTAAGCCCCACTACCCAGAGGCTGAGGCGGGAGGATTACAAGTTTGAGGCCAGCCTGAGCACTTTAATGGTAACTTATCTCAAAATAAAAATTTTTAAAGAGAGCTGGAGATATAGCTCAGTGGTAGAACACTTCCTAGCATTCAGGAGGTCCTGGGTTCAATTCTCAGGATAGCAAAGAAAAAAAGACATAAAATGCCAAAAACTGTTTGGAATCAAATAGCAAAGTTCCAAAACAGATGAAGCAAAAGTTGACAGAACTAATGGAGAGTGTATATATACTCTCATAACAGAATGATTTAATACCCATTTAGCAGTAATTGATAGATTGAAAAGTTGGTAAATATATTGAAGATTTGAACAACATTAACAATAAGCTGAACAGTGTTGAAAAAGAAGAAATTTGGAAGAGCTACCCAATCTGACTATAAGACCATCTGTATAGCTGTAATAATCAAAACAGTATAGTATTGATGAAAGGAGGCATAAATAGATGAAGGTACAAAAGACTTCCCTCTGGTTTTTTTTTTTTTCCAGTACCAGGAATCGAACTCACGACCTTGCACTTGCCAGGCAGGTGCTGTGCCACTGAGCTAAATCCCCAGCCCCAAGATTTCCCTCTGAAATAATTTTCTTTCAGCCTACAGAACTCCTTTTAACATTTCCTGCTCTTGTAGAGGTTTATTCTTACAGATTTTGTCCTCTTAAAATTTTATTTCATTTTTAAAATATTTTCATTGGATATCAAATTTTAGGTTAAGTTTTTTCTTCCATCATGCTAATGCTGACATACCATTATCTTTTTGGCTTCTATTATTTTTTATGAGAAGTCATCTGTCATGCCTACAATTATTCATCTCTAAATTTTTTCACTTTGGCTGATTTTAAAAAGAATTCAAGAAAAACAAAAAGAAATTTTTTATTTTAAAGAGAAAAGAACAAAACCAAAAAAACAGAAACAAAAACAAAAACAAAACACAAAAGCTATAAAAATGATACAGAATTTCAAAACAAGATGATAGGAAATCAACAATGGTTGTTGTATTACTTATTGTTATCTTATTGCTCAGATTACCAGATGTAGGTATGCAAGATTGATCAAACAATTAAATATTGACTGTTCCTTTCAATAAACCAATTGAAATTAGTAGTACAACTATCTTGGCCATCTTGTATGTGTATGTGTATATTTACCTTCCTTCTTTCTTTCCTTTCTTCTTTCTCTCATCCCAGTTGTTGTTTCCTATTGAGCAGTTTCTTTCCCTTTTACAATATCTATTGTACCTTTCAGTTTTATTTATGCTTACAGGTTGAGATATTTTTTTTTACCTTGTGTTTTCATCTAATGGTCCTGCTTGGAATTCTCTAAGCTTCTTAGATGTGAGGCCTCTTTCTTTTTTTTTTACTCTGAAATTTTAGAAAATGTTTGATTTTTATTTCTTCAACCACTTTTCTGCTATTTTTCCCCTCTTGCTTTCTTCTAGGACTCCAATTATAAGTGTGTTAGACTATCTGATATTATCTCATAGAACTCATATACTTTTTTTATTTTGTTGTGCCATTTCGTTATTTTTGTTGTTGTTGTTTCACCTTGAATCATTTCATAGGTCACTTTTTTTTCTGTTGTTGTTGCTGTTTTGTTATTGTTGTTGTTGTTGTTGTTGTTGTTGTTTCAGCTTGGATCATTTAAATATGTTGATTCTCTCCTCTGCTGTATCCAATCTCCTAACAAACTCATTAACAGAATTTTCAAAGTCTGATATTTTTCACTTCTTGTATTTCCATATAAATCTTTTTATAGTTCCCATAACCCTACTGAGATTCCCCATTTGTTCATACATACTGCCTGACATTTTCACGGGATCTTTTTGTATGCTACAGATCCAAAGTTTCCAGCCAAAGGCCTGGAACCCATGGCAATGTCCCATACAAGTCCCGCATCAAGAGGCCAAAGGATCTGCAATGGAAGACTGATGGGTCTATGCCAGGAGGTCAAAGCATGGGCACTAGAAGGTAAAGAGTCTGTAGTGGCAGGCCAAAAGGCCAAGAATCTGCGTGGAAAGCCAGGAGATGACTCCCTAATGCAAGGGCGAGGACTAGAGTTCCTCCGAAGAGAACAGCTGAAGCTCCTCTGAGGAAAATCAGCTGAAATACTTCCCTGCAGTTCTCCTTTTATACTATTCTGAAAACAGTCCTTAAAGTGGGTCTTCCATGCCCAGAAACATGCTGACTCAATGCTGGGTGTTCCACTCAAGTTGACAATTAATCAATTACCACCACAGCCTGTATTTAGATTCTTAGACACATTTTATTTCTTGTAAAATTGAAATGGAATCTTGCTGTTCGACCTTAGTCCTACAACTGCTTGTACATGGAGCTGCTCGTAGTAAGGAGGGGAAGAGTTTGTGTACAAGCAATGAAGGCATGAACAATATCAGAATACAGCTACAAAGCAACAACCAACATTTGTTGGACACACAGCAGGTGAAGAAGGTAGTACTATGTACACAAATGACTTCATTTCTCACAACTTGATGAGCTAAATACTGTTTTCTAGATGAAGAAATTCATGCTCAGAGAAATTAAATGATTTGCCCAAAGCCACACAGGTACTAACTGGAGAAAACAGAATGTGAATTCAAATAGTCTGGATGCTGGAGTCCACACTCTTAGCCTCCATATCATGAAGAAATAAATTAGGGATTAATTATTTACTTAAGCTAAATTTTTCTGTCATTGATGATCTGACATCTGAATTTGAACCAATTCATATAACTCTCCACATATGCAAGGCTGAGCAACACACGCGCACGCACACACACACACACACACACATACATTTCCCTCTACCTGCATCTTCCACAAGAAATTGCTCCTCCCAGACTTGTGACCAGAGTGCACTGCGTCACTCTGAGCCTTTAGGAGGACACTCTCCAGACCACCTATGGGACACACAAGTTCAGGGCCAAGACTGGGTGAAGGTTGCAGAGTATCGCAGCCAAGCAATGACCTCAAGCAGGACTAGGATGCAGATGACTCCTTGGGCAAATGCAGAGAAGACAGGACTGTCCAGAGAGAGTCCCTGAGGGGTTGGAAGCTGCCACAGCCTGCCTTACCTCAGGAAAAGTGAGGAGCTGCAGTACACTGTGGGTCATCAGCTAATGAAGCTAAAGGACAAACCTGAAATCTTAAGAAGAAGGAAAAATTCACCTCATACACTTACAATTCAGCAGTAGCCCTTCCCAGACACACCATCTAGAATAGAGCTTGCTCTTCTTGAAGTAGTCTCTTGCCTGACCAAAGCAAGATTTCACTGAGCCATTTTAAAAAGGAGAGACACTGCCATTACAGGAGGTAAGACCAAATACACCATAATCTCCTCTATCCTTGGGCAGCTACTTACCAAGTCTGACAGTGCACCTCATGTTGCTTCCCCAGCCAGCCCGATGGTCCCATGTCTTGATACCTGGAAGGCTAGAAAGCAGAAATGTGGTTTTACTTATGCAGGTCTGCTGGGAGATATGAGGGATGATAACACAGTGACCCAATCAGCTTCCCCACCCCAATGGACGCAAAGGGGTATTTCAGAATTCATAACTGGGATAGCTTCAGTTGCTTTCTTAAAAAGGATCAAAACATTGAAATTCATCCAAGAGCACGGCTGTGTAACCTGAGTGCAGGCAGCACTCATTAATAGGAAACGCACATGGCCCTCGCTCTTGTGTTCTTAAGATTCTTTCAGCATTCCTCAGAGAGAAGCAGGCCCCACAGCTCCAAGCACTGGGGAAGTTTCTTGTTATATGACAAGCTAATTTCATAGACTTATCCCTCCAAGATGCTCTCTTATACCACCAGGCTGATATAAATTAAGGTTGCATTCATAGAAGTATACTTCCAAGGTAGGTGAGTCTTTTCTTGCTTCTCTATAGGTAACTAATGCAAGGGTGCATTGCATTCTGGGTCCTTGGACTTTAAGGGCCAATTAGAGTGAGCCCTCTGGTGGGTGCGGAGGATGAAGGGAGGCGGAACCAGGACATATGATGTGATTGATTGCCCGTAGGGTCTGCTGGAATTTAGCTTGCTTGTACTTTTATTTCCGCTTCTGCTGCCTAGCACTGTGATATGCTTACCCGTATCTCCACATTCTACTCTCACCCATGCAGATTCCTCTCGCTCAACTAACTCTGAGCTTCCTGAGGACAGGGATGTTGAATGGTTTCCACAAAGAGCCTGGGAAGCCCAGGGAATATTTGTTGAATGAATGAACAAATACACAAACGAAAGAGTTGCCCTGGGGGAATGTCCCCCAGATGCTACTACCTGGCTACCCACCTCCCTCGGTGGAAGGGAAGACCCTGCCCTTCGCATGCAAAGGGGGCCAAAAGGATGCCAGAAGCTGCAGGATTTGGCTGTTTCAGAGTCTATCAGCAACCTGAGATCCCACTATAAAAAGCATAATGGTGAATGCTAAGTTTGCTGAAACCGAAAACAGGGTCAAAGTGGGTTGTGAAGCTGCAGGGACCCAGGCAAACTGCTCTGCCCCTGCGCCTCTGCTTCTTTTCTTGTAAAATGGCTAAAACTATGGCCAGCTCACAAGTGCTGGAGGAAGGATCAAATGAGAGGTTGTCAGTAAAGTGTACATTTACAATTTTTTTTTTTAAAAAAAAGAAAGATGACAGGAAAGTAGAAAGGTGACTATGAAGGAAAAGGAGGGGGCTGGGGGAAGAGGGGTGTTGGGGAGGTTGAAAATAATCAAAGTATATTATATACAGGTAAAAATACACCAAAATGAAACCCACTAGTCTGTATAACTCACAAACAATAATACATTTTTTGAAACATTGCCCAGTGTGCTAAATAGGAGCAAGGACAGGCAATAATGGAAACAAAGTACATTCCACGGGGAAAGGAAAATCAGACTTACCATGGGTCTGCATAGCCAGGACAGGAAGAGCAAGCTACGGTTGCTGTATTATTACTAACACAACATTAATAACACACCCAGCTCCTCAGAATTGTGTTCCCCTCTTGCTTTGGCTGCTAGGAAACTCAGAATCCAATTTGCATCCTACTCACAGTAAGGTCAGTGAACTTGTGGCCTTTATTTGTATTTCATACCTCTCACATGAGACCATAAGCTCCAGGAGGCAGGAGTTATGATGGGTTGGTGGTGGTTGTTCACTGCTATATCCACAGTGGTAAATATTTGCTGAGTGTCAGCCCTCATCCCTATTGTCTTACTCTTCTTTCCCCTTTGCCCCAGTTTCCTATTCACGTGTATCCTGCTACAGTGTCTACATGTCTGAACCCCCTCAGATCCTCTTGTGTAGAGGTGGGAAACAAATAAACACACAAGAAAAAGAGGAAAAAGCAAATCAAACAGCCACAGATCCATCATTCCCCTAGCAGCTTCTAGAACACCATGGCTCTGCCGACCTTCCCATCCCTCCAGAGGCAGGCCAGGTGGGGGCAGCCACTGAAGATGCTGTTGCCAAAGCCGAGGTTTGTCCTTAGGAAACCTTCCTCTCAGGCTGTTCCTGGAGATTATGTTACCTCTCGGCCTGCCGATAGGTTGCCTAGCAACACCCACCGTTTTCTGGCCTCTAAATCCCTCATTTGTGTCTTCCATGGACACGGTGTGGTGTTTTTGTGACCCTGAGTTATAGCCTCTCAGATGGGTCCCAATCTAACACAGGCCTGATCTGCGTAGGTCTGGGCCCAGAACCTTCTCCTCTTACTGGCCTGTGACTTCCAGCCAGGACCCCCTGGGTTCCCTCGGGCATGAACACAAAAGCCAGCAAGCAGAGTGTGCTTCGAGGAGCCTCAGAGCTACACGATGTACATGTGCCAGGAGGAAGCAAGGGGAAAGAGGCATGCTGAAGCTTAACACCCAGGTAAGTTGAAGTTGATGAAGATCTTGTCACCTCAGGAGCCGCCTCCTTTGAGATTTTCTGCTCTCGAGCAAACACTTTATTTTTCATGTAACAGGGTCCAAAACATGTGAACGTATAGATAAATGAAGTGTTACTTAAGATCATGTCTAAGCAATGTACAAAAATAAATATCCTACTGAGACAGACTCCATGAGGGAAAGCAAAAACAAGGAATCATTTGAGGGGACATAGCTTTATCAGATGTAAAACTCACCAGTGGCTTTCCAGAAGCCACAAAAAAACAAAGAACACCAAACTCGCAAACTACAAGTGTAGACCTCTAGGTGCCAGTGGCCACAGATGTTACCTGGGCCCCTCCAGCTGCTCCCCTAGCTTAACTACCACGCAATGCCCAGCTGCAGAAACATGGACAGGAAGATGCTCCTCCTTCTCACATCGCTCAGAGAGGAGGCCATTCTTTCTTGAACTGGGTCTAAAACCAGTCAACTCCATCTGGTCTCTGTCGTGAAGCCAAAAGTTAAAACTCCAAAGTTTACATACATCAAAAGCAAAAAAAGTAATTTTAGCTCACTATGATGAAATCTATTTTTGATAGTGAAATGCAAAAGGCAAAACTCATTACACACATAAAAAGGGAAAGAGTAATTTTAGCTCTGTATGATGAAACCTACTTTTGATAGCAAAATGAAGAACAGGCTAAGAGAAGGGGTCAAATCAAGATACTTTGGAGCCATGCTGTCCAATTTAGCAGATGCTAATCACCTAAGCTTATTTATATGAAAAGTTAATTAAAATTTAATAGAAGCAAAAATTTAGCCCTTTCAGTTCACCAGCCACATTTATTGGTGCTTTTAAAAGCTGCATAGACACACACGGCTAGTGGCCACTGTGCTGGACAACTCCAACATTAAACACTTCCATCGGTGGAGAAGGTTCCATCAGACGGCGCTGCCCTGCAACAGCACGTGAACAGGCTGTGGTCACAGATGCACCACCAACACAGTGGAGTCTGTCTGCAGGACCTGTTGGATGCCCATCCATCCTTTGCTATCACTTCTAAGCTAGGCTGTCTTCAGTCTCAGAAAAACCCTACAGCCAAAGCTCAAACTGCTTTGGGAGTTTTTCCAGAACCCCCAGTGTGGTGTCTTACCCACAGTAATATTTTCATCCCAAAATAAAGTTACCCATGACCCATCTCTTAAGACCATACTCTTGCACTGCTCTAGGAGTATTGTGGGTAGAATGGCGTCCCCCACCGAAGATAGTTCCCGCAGAACCCATGGAAAAATAACTTACTCAGGAAGAGTCTTTGCAGATTTTGAGATGAGATTATGTTGGCATATCCAGGTTCTTCTTAAATCCAATACAAGTGTCTTCATAAGAACAGGAGACAGCGTGGCTGGGGCACATGAAGTTGGAGGCAGAGCTGGAGTTACATAGCTACAGGCTAAGGACACCCAGCAGTGCCATCCAAAGCTGTAAGGGATCCTCCAGGGAAACCAATCCCACCAACACCTGGACTTTGAACTTCTGGCCTCCAAAATGGTGAGATAGTAAATTCCTATTGTTTTAAACCACCTGGTTTGTATTTGTTATGGTGGCCCTAGGAAATCAATATATAGGAAAACGAATATATAGTGGCAGACTATAAATGAAGGAATTTCCTCTCCCAGAGATGTATCCAGCACCTACGTGGGACCTGTGACTTCCAGCCCGGACCCTGGGTTCTCAGTGAGCATGAGCACAGAGACAGACAAGTTCACAGGGCCACTGAGTCTGACTCTGTGTGCCAAGAGGACAGAGTGAATGGTGTGAGTGCAAAGAGGCCTTCTTAGTACTCTTCAAGTCATGCTATGGAGATGGTTGCGCCATCCCTTCCTGTCTTCTATGTGCTCGTCTTCTTGAAGCTCCCTCCTTCCATCCAGGCTATACTCTGCCCCATTTCACTTCCTCTTCTGCCAGGCATGTTCCCAAACCCACCTCCTCCAGGAAGCCTTCTCAGACCACTCTATCCCCATGTGACAGCCACATGCCATGGCAGAGGGACCCTGGGTTTTAGCCTAACCTAGCCAACCCTCACTGTGAGACACCATCCTCCCAAGTCTCTCCATTCCTCTGGGCCTCAGGAGCCTCATCTGCACCATAACAAGAGAAGCTAAACTGTCTCTATCATTTCCTGTCTTTTGGAACTTGCTCATCAATGTATGTCGTTATTTACCGAGCACACAGAGGTTAAATACTAACAAAAACATCATGATAATAAAAAGTAGCAGTTATTGGGCCCACTGTGCTACTTAATGCATTACATGCATTATCACACTTTTTCACTATTTTTAGAGGGGTGGAGGAACGAAAGGGGTTGGGGCTGTATTCCAGCCAAGCGCCAGAATCGCAGAGGCAGAAGGCTTCTGCAGGCTCAGTATATGTGAACTGGCAGCAAAAGACCAAGTCAAAAAGTCTCCTATAAATATAAACTGGGCCTCCTTTTCCAAGAGGTCTATCCTCCCACCCTCTCCTTTCAGGAATTCTGAAAGGAAGCAGGTCACCAACCAAGGGATTGTGGCCACAGTTGCACACGTGTGCATGTGCGTGTGCATGTGCGTGCAAGCGAACACACACACACACACACACACACACACACACACACACACATGCTGGCCCAGCAAATGCACCTCTGAAGTTTCCCTCTTATCCAAGCACCTTAGAGTCAAGGTACATGGGAACCTGACACGGAGTCATAAACCAACAGAATTAACCACAACATCAATACCTGCAAGGTGCCAGAGATCCCTCTGTTGTATGTGAGGGTTGTGGAATGACCACTCCCCGCCACTTTGGCCTGCTCCTCTGACCCACCCCTTTCCACATTCGCTTATCTTGAGCAACCTGAGCACAGCAGCCTGACCGAGGTGTGTTTGAGCTGACACACCTGGCCTTGCCCGCAGTGACCTGCAGAGAAGGGGCCGCTCACTCCCACCACCGTATCATCCGGGTGCTGGGCACAGAGCTGGCTTCCCTGGGCTTATAGCCTGGCTGCAAGGGCACAAGGTAAGATCTGGGAGGTCCCAGCCCTTCTTGTCACACATGGGACAGGCCCCCATGCACCTCACAGCGCCAGAAGAAATGCACCTCACACTATCATCACACTGTCAGCTCAAGTAGGAACATAATGCCAGGAAGACTGAATTTTCTGCAGACTTGTTTAACCTGGTGATTTCTGAGTACTTGGCGCTGGAAGCCACGGGTAAATGGGCTGCCAGCTGTCCGTTTATCAGCCCCTTCTTGAGAATGTTCATAGGTTTATTAAACCAGCATGAATCACTCTCCTGCCTTCTTTGTAAGCATGAATGGCAAAACACCAAAACCAAGGAAAGCCTACGTGTTTCTCAATCATTTCTTCAGGGCCTGCAGGAGTACAGAGCTGGAAAAGAGTTTGTCAAGCTGAGGCCTCCTGCCAACAAGGGGTGCCCGGGCCAAGGGCAGAGACGACAGCTCAGGTAGGCTAGGGGCACAGAACATGACGACCGGCCCATCACGCGCTCACTCAGTCAATCCTGCTGTCTTCCAAGGGCCTGGGTGCACAGTGGGGAGTCAGCAGACAGCAGCCTGGCCCCGTCTCTGCCTTCGTGGTGCCTGCAGCCTAGTGGAAGTTTGAAGTGGTAACAGTGCTGTTTCTATTTCTTCCCTAGCTGGGAAAAGTCGGGCACGTGTGAAGATCTCCGAGCGTCCATTTCTTGTATTGTAAGGCTGATGCACAGGGTGACATCAGGATTTAATGGAAGAGTTAATATGCATCGAGTCCCTCCTAGTACAAGCACTTGCAATTTTACTGGAGAAAGGAGAGTTATCGGTGACACCCACTTGAGCACAGGGAGCCCTCACCTGTCCCTACCAGCCCTCTCAGTGCCACCCAGATGACCTGGAACCTGGGCCTCCCTGCAGCACTGGCAGGAGAGGGCACCTGGGCCCTAGGTCTCCATCCTAGGATTCCTGTCCAACTGCAACCTCAACTCCAACTTCAGGCCTTCCTTCTTGGCAGTTCCCAGAAGTTCAGGCAGACACTACAGACCCTCCTTGAGGGGGTGGATGCCTTCAGCATGTAGATCCTGACCACATTTTCTCTCTGGCTCTCATTTCTCTCCAAAGTGCTGCAGATTGTCATGAGCAGCACCCTCCCTGGGGGCCCGGGTCACCCCGCTACCCCTGCCACTCTCCTCTGAAACAAGATGAAAAGACACAAGTCCTACCCTTTATGTCCCATACTGGACTCTTACTTCCCACATAAACTTCTCTCCTGCCTCACGGACCAGAATGCATAGGCATCCTCCTTGAATTAAGCAATAAGGCGGCCCTGTGCCCAATGCTCGTATGGCACCTACGCTGTTGGCCAACAGTTGTGGAATGCCCGTGCGTGCCAGATCATCTCCTTAATCCTCACCACAATCACCCCAACCCCAGGGCAGGCAGAGGTCGCCCTGCAGTGAGTGACAGAGCCCAGTGAGGCACCCCTGCCAAAGTCGGAAGGATATGGAAGGAAATGGAAGACCACCAGTGACAAGCTGGGGTGGAAACCAAACAGAGAGGCCCTGGAGGTACACTCAGGACAGGCACACCCCTGGGGTCCCAGCCTCCTCCACCTCACCCCAGTTCTCCCAGGCCCCCTCCCAGGCTACTATCCCCATCATGCTGGGAACCAACTCACAGGGAAGCAGCACGCCTCACACCACAGGAAAATGGAATCCATCTACCCAGCCCCAAAGCTCTCACCCATGCTTAAATCAAAGAACTCTCCAAAAGCACAGAGTACCCACAGGTGACAGCAGAGCTGCCCTAACCACAGGGTGGGTGTCCTTTTCCAGGACCCCCAAATCTCAGTTGGGAAAACTCAACCAAGAGAAAATCTAACAACAGCCACAGGGGTGACATGGGTGACTTTCTGGGTGACAGCAGCACAGATAATAATGTTCCTTGGCTACTTATATCTAGCTCCTCAATGTTAAGTGTTATTTAATTTTAAAGGAGACAAAGTAGCAAATGTAAAAGGGGGAAGAGGGGCTGGGAATTTAGCTCAGCGGCACAGCGCCTGCCTGGCAAGCGTGAGGTCGTGAGTTCGATTTCCAGTACCAGAAAAAAGACAAAAAAAAAAAAAAAAAAAAAAAGGTGGGGGGAAGAGGTAGAAGAGACAAAAACAGAGAAGAGAAGGTGGAGAAGGCGAGGGGCTGGAGGAGACTTCAGATGCTTGCACCCTGGAGGACCATTTCCAGGGCCACCTTCCCCAAGAGGGGACACTGACATTGAGGACTGGCAGAGTGCCTGAGATGGTGGAGCCTCACCATCACCCACAGAAGAGACCAGGCCCAAAGCCAGGCTACTGTAGTCAAACACCTGGGAGGAGAAGAAAGGGACTGACCCAGGCACCTGCTCACCCCTCAGGGTCCCAGATCCCAGCTGGTACTTAGGGCTGAAGGCTTAGGGTCTCCTTGACAACTAAAAATTCTGTAGAAGTGTCTGCTAATCACAGGTGCTCACATCCACTGACCCTCTTCCAAGAAGGAAATCGGAGCTGGCCCTCCCCTGTCCTTGACTTTCTGCTCAGAGCAGCCATGTTTGCAATAGAGAGCCCTTTCCAACTGACAAGGCTTCTGCCCTTACATGCTTCACGGGAGACTGAAAAGACTCCCATTGGCTCACACCACCACCTCTATGGCTTCACATGAGAAACAGCCTTGTCTTGTCCCCAGGCAGACACGTAGCTGCAAAGAGGGACAGAATGGCCAACAACTTTCCATCATTTCAGACTGAATGATGTCTGCCGAGCCTCTCCCTTGAATGCCAGACCCAAAAGGGGCCCAGGAAGTAACAAATGCGTCATGGTACGGCCCAATTACACATGCTAATAACAGATCCGTGCTGGGGCCCGGAGTCACCCAGACGGTGGAGGGGATTTATGGCCCAAACCTGATTTCCCAGAATCCAGTGAACTCAGGAACAGAGAGAAGCCGAACCTGAAAGCTTTCCCTCAGGTCTCCCTGGGAGCCAGTGTATTTTTGGAGAGCTTTGGCTTCGCCTGCTTGCTGTACTTTATTGCTGGCAGAGAGATGGGAAATTTATTACTTTACAAATCATACCATTCGCAGCATAAATGAACTGTCTGGCCGCGGCACGCTCGAGCCCAGATGATTTGCAAAACGTCTAATGGTAAGCGCGGTTATGCTATCTGCTTACGGCCTCCGAGACAAAAGCAAAGCATAACGCAGAGCGTCTGCACAGTGTAACTCAAGGCTAGCGAATTGGCTGCGACTCATAAATGTTGGCTCAGCAGCATTACATAACTCGGCGCGCTCAGCTGAGGACTCAGAGGAACACAGGGCAGCCCCCGGGCCCAGGGCGCTGGCTCTGACGGGGCTGTGGATGACAAGCAGGGCACCAGTGGGGTTCAGGGCTGAGGTCAGGGCCAGGCTGAGCCCCACAGCCCAGCTAGTCCTGAGGCCTGCTAGCCATCAAGAGGCCGGGTGGACCCCTGGGCCTGCCCAGGACACAAGTGCTCTCTACAGCTTTCCTGTTCCCAATTCCCCAAACCTGGGGTGGGAGGGGAGGTACTGCAATTATTTTTGCCCTGACTTGTGGACAGGAGTTACTCAGTGCCCACAGCCCACGAGGT